GACCACAACGACTATGTTTCTCATCGCGAGAAACCACACACTCCTTTTTCGACTCCTCACAACGAGTACACGGCGCCATCCTTTTTTCCAGAAAAGTTTATTTGAAAACCAAGTGCTCGAGTATCTCCGCGACTAATAGGAGCGGACATGTTGAAAGAAGAAGAAGGCCGCTGGCCTTCTGACGATATTTCTTAGCGTATACTTAAGCGTGCGGACACGCTAGGCTAAGAAGGGGATAGTGTCACGAATCACGTGTTAGCACGGGACAAGTGAAGTCCAGGCGGCGCCCTGAAAGGACAAGCACATCAGAAAGACCTTATAGCAAATAGGGATCCTTAGACTAGCTAAGCGATCCAGGGATTTCTTAGTATTCATAGTCACGTGATGAAAGCGCGACAGCGCGCGCAAGCGAGCTGTCGCAGCGCGACAGTCAGGGACAGCGATATTCAGAGAACGAAGGTTCTATATAAGACTGGCATGTCTGCCATTAGATAGGAGCTTCGTGCTCAACTTAGTTATCAATCTTATCATATTAGTTTGACATCTTTGATACAAGTAACGAGTTCACTTCCAAGTGAACAACCCGATAGTCTTCTTCTTATCATAGCATACCAACCAGCGAACACCCAGCCAAGTTTAGTTAGCCAGTTTGAGTATTCGTTACACTTAGATATATTTATACATAAATTAGATATATTCTATAAGATAGTAGGATATTATAGTATTAAGAATAATAGTCTTTTTAAAGTATTTCCTATTATAATAAAAGGAGACGCTTCTAACTATTACTATTAATAACTCTCTAGATAACTATATATTACTTTTATAATTATAGTATAGTGTAACGAATACTCAAACTGGCTAACTAAACTTGGCTGGGTGTTCGCTGGTTGGTATGCTATGATAAGAAGAAGACTATCGGGTTGTTCACTTGGAAGTGAACTCGTTACTTGTATCAAAGATGTCAAACTAATATGATAAGATTGATAACTAAGTTGAGCACGAAGCTCCTATCTAATGGCAGACGTGCCAGTCTTATATAGAACCTTCGTTCTCTGTCTAATCGCTTTAGTCGCTCGCCTCAGTCGCTTCAGTCGACAGGCGACTCAGGCGACTGAAGCGATCATGGTCACGTGGTACTTTAATCCGACGAAATCCATGGATCGCTTAGCTAGCCTAAGGATTCCCTTCTGCTATAAGAGTTATGATAATGCTCGACCTGTCAGGGCGCCGCCTGGTCTTCACTATCTCCCGTGGTAACACGTGATTCGTGACATATAGGCTATTTAAGACTACTTTAAAGATAGTAGTTATAAGAGATATATTTAGGACGAGTAAGAGAAGTATACTCTCGAATGTATTAAATCCGAATACCCTAGAAAGTCTACTTCGAAGTACTTCGAGATTTTGCTTAGTAAGATATAAGAGCTACGATATAGACTAAGTAAACTACTTTAGGGTAATAAGAATTTTTATAATAATATTCTCTATACTACTTATAATAATATATTAAATACTCTATAGTTATTATAAATGTACTACCTTTAATTAGCTCTCTAATTTTAATAATACGATCTTCTATTATATAATATGAATATATTAATAGTACTACCTATAAGGATACGGATTAAGCTAAAGCTATATATACTACGAAATATATAGTAGCTACTTTAAAGGTACTAGGTTCTTCGTCGAAGGTACTAAAGACTTTTAATATAAAGCTAGGTTCGTGTCACGGGTCGAATGTCGCGATTTGGTTATTCTTCCTCGTGACCGCGGGACAGGTGGCTGCCTAAGCGAGCATGCATGTCCCACGCTTCAAGCAAACAAACAATGAAGGAAAACTCTTCAAGCAAACATGCCAACACACAACTCCCTCAGAAAACTCTTTAAGCAAACACGACAACACATCAAATCCCTCATCGTGGCGTGATAAGGGATGTGGGAGACGCGGGGGATAAGGAGCTGTTGGGTGTGTGGTGTTTCTGGCATAAGAACCTCGGGTTTTCTCCTCAGATAGCTCTTCTCTCCTTAGCTTTAGATTCTAAGTAGTGGAATAGCAGGATCCTTCACCGTTCCGTTACAGTTCGAAGCAAACTTCGACTAAGGCTCTATAAACTCTCAATATAGATTATATATATCGCAAGGTTACTACTACTGACTTCTAGAACTCGTACGACAAGAAGTGTTATATCTATAAGAAGGTTAGTTGTTAGTCTACTAATCACTCGAAATTAGAGTAAAAGGCCGCAAAGGAGAAGTAGGAAGGTCGGTATAAGAGAAAGTACACCGGAGATAATAAGAAGAATACAAATTATAATATACAATATTATATCTTTATTATAAGTACGGAAGGAACAGAGGACGAATATCGAGCTGCTAAGACTTTGTTTATTATAACTAACGAGACGTCGTCTAACGACGACACTATGTTATTATAATCGTTGGATTCTAATAATAATAAACTAGCATAGACAGGATTAATAAAGAGCTACGATATTACGGAGTCACTCGACGATAGGGATACTAAGCAGCTTATTAACCATTTGAATAACGTATCTTATCTATACTAGATAGGGTTCGAGTCTACGGAACCGCCAAAGGTATTGTTAACTGGCAAGGAGCTAACTCCAAACTAGCCCTGAGGCCAGCTTGCACGTGCTATAGCTCATACCGAGTATTCACTCAATATTCGTATAGCGACAGGGATAATACTGATCATATATTTACACTATTCTATTAGAACTAAAGTATGTAAATTTATACACCCAAGAGAAGTTATCTCCAAAAAAAACAAAAAGAGCTACCAATCCACCTTATAAAATCCCATCCAACACCATCTCACCATACCCAACTCCCTTGCTACACCATTACTTCCACACAACATTCCTTCCACCAACCAATCCATAAACCCAACCCACTATCCAACAACACACCTCAGGCCCCCACTTTCCCCACCCGGGGTCTATACCTCCCAAACTCCCTCTCCAACTCCCCCTCACTCCACCTCCTTTCAGGCTCACTCCCCACATACACACCCCGCAAGTCGCGAGCGAAGAACTTAAGGTACTCCCCTCTAGGCATATAAACAACTTTCGTGATTTCCTTTCCTTCCATCCCGTCCCGTTTCACCTCTTTACTTTTCCGCCGTAATTTAGCGAAGATGCTGCTTCGCTTTGAGGTGTGCGATTTCTCAGACGAAGAGGAGCGAGTTGGTGATGTGGGGGAGTGTAAGGGTGATATAGAAGAAGGAGAAGATGCCAAAACTCGACAAACAACCGCAGTAATCACACTCTCATCCGTATACCTCCTCGGCAACAACAACGGTAGCTCATTCATATCCCTCCACCCCCTCGGCGTCCACCTCGGCATCGGCCCACCCGTCGCAGTAAACCTCCTCATCGCATCTTCATCCAACTCCTCCCGCCCCTCCCCTCCCTCTATAGTAATAGGCACACTACCCCTCAACCCACCCCTCGAACTCGAATACCTCCCTGAGTAAGAATTCGACTTCGAGTGCGAAGGTATATACCCCACCGACCTACCAGTACTCGAAGAGTGCGAGTGGGAAGAGGTATGCGTATACCCTCCCGCCCTGGGAATCAACGGCTCGATATCTGAGTCCCAATCCGCGATCGTTGAGGTGGAGGGAATGACGTGGTTGGGGAATAGGGGGGAGGTGGGTGAGAGGGTTGTGTATTGGAGTTTGTTTGTTGGATCGCGGTAGGGGAGGACTTGGACTTGGACGGGGGGAGGGAGTGTTTTTGTTTTTGTTTTTGTATTGGGGGTTGGGGAAAATGAGAAACTGGGGGGGCGTTTGTGGAGCATTGTTTTTTGGATCCTTTGGTTTACTAATGGGAATGGGTAGGAGATAGGGATGGTGCTGATGAGGATGAGGATGAGGAGGAGGATAGCCAGATAGATGAGAGGAAAGCAGATTGTTTCCATCAAATGGGATATATAGGAGCTAGTGGGGAAGCAGTACAGTATGAGGGGGGTGGGGGCGAGAAATATTAAACTTTACCAATGTGAATCGCACAAAGAGAGGTACGTGAGTAATGGCTAAGTAAAGGGGACAGACATGTCGTCAATTTCGCCTCCCTTTCTTTCCTTTAATTATAACTCACAAAAAGCATAATCCGTACCTCTCACTCACATATAATATAACATCCTCAAATAGAAAATTTCCTATCAGAAAAGAAGCGCTTACTGTGCTATGTGATGGAATGCGAGTACTGGGTACGGTGGTAGTTTCAGTAGGTGGCTTGCGAGATGTATCATCGTCAAGGGTCCAAGGGTCCAAGGGTCCAAGGTCGTACAGCTTTACCGAGGCTCCTGTTCCCCCCCCGCATTTTTCCAAATTCCTAAACAGGTACGCGAATCAACCACACACTTCGCATCCCAAAAATCAAGTACCTGTTATCTACCTACATACCATAAAACAAGAAACCCCATAGCAAACCATAAACCCCTCCCAACACCCCAACAAAACATCCTCCAATAACAAAAGATATTCCCTTATCAGCGTCTAAAGAACATCAGATAAAAACTCTCCAATCATCCAAGTATCAGCACATGCAAATCCCATTTTCCAGAAGGAACCCCGTCTACAAAACAAGCCTTTACGGGCCAGGAAGCTTGAAACCCAAAGCTTGGCTTGACTTATTCGACGACATCCGTACGGAGTTCTTTATTGTCCCCACGTGCTTATTTCTCCGTTTCTCTCTCTAGCATCCTTGTTGTTACTCCACCACTCCACCGCGGGGCAAATGGGGAGGTGGGGTGCAGGTGGGGTTACGAGGACGCGAGGATTCTGGAGTCCGTACTCGTAATTACGAAGAGGAAAAAAAAGGACTTGTACTTGAAGGATGGATGTGTAACGTAAGAAGCATTGAATATTGAACTTGTTTATACATGAAAACATGAGATTTTGTTTAGAATAAACATACTGGCCCAAGTACCAATTTGACCATCGTATCTCATAAACTTCGTGAAGAGCTTGTACAAAGATTAAACTTGAGCTTGATACCTGATATACTTTCAGACAACTCAGCAAATTGCTTATCAGTCAAAGCTTGAGTTATGTACTGACAATACTAGTGCTACCGGTATACCATCCATGAATATCCGTTTTTCGATAGTACTCATCTTTACAGAGCCTAGACCTCGCACGTCCGGGCTCGGATCCTGATTGGCACTTCAAATCCCAACTAGGAGAACAACACTCAGTAATTCCCGCACTCTGAGTCGCTATCGGACGAGTCTGGAAATCCCTGAAACACCTCTTCCTCGCTATCTTCCAAAGTAACAGCAGTTTCCTGGCTGTCCTCTTCCTCTGCTTCGTTGATATCAAAGACTCCACTGATGTCCCATCTGTCTCCCTTGGCATTTCTGCTAACGTATTTGACGAACTTCAAAACACCGCCATCCCGTAAGACAATGCTCAGTTTATTCCAAGTAGCCGGCATAGTAAAGAGAACGTTGTCATCCTCCGCCTCAGAAGATGCCTTGTATATAGCTGCATCTTCATCGGCTTCATCGTCATCACCTGCCATAAAGACTTCGTGACCACCAACATCAGCTTCTTCCTCCTTTTTCTCCCCGACCTCCTGTACGGGTTTGAGCTCGGGAGGTTGTGTCTTGTCTTTCGAGTTTCCGTTTTGCTTGCTTTTTGAGGAACTTGACCTCTCCGCTGGGATATCTTCCTCTTCATCTTCATCTTCCTCCTCCACATTCTCTTCATCATCACTTTCCTCGTCATCACCCCAGCCCGGACTTGGAGTCAGCCCCAAGCACAACTCCAGTCGCGCCTCGCCCTCATGGCTTGTTGCAAGAGAATAGTCCATTCCTTTGCGAAATCGTCGTGCGATCACGTCATGCTTTGTGATTTCACATTGCGTGGCCAGCTCAAGCCATTTTCGGAATTGTGGACTAGGTAAGAAGACTTGAAGAATTTCCTCAATTGGAGTCAGCTCTCTATCGAAGCCCTTCTTTGATTTTCCTGATGTCGCCTTTTTGGGCTGTTGATATAAGAAACGGTGTTTGTGAGGTGGTTTCGCTACTTTCCAGGACCCTTTTTCAATCTCCTCGCTGTTGCTAGGCAGTGCCAGCTTCTCCTGGCCTTCAAAGTACTCGCGAACCTTTGCGGAAAACTTTTTAGATAGCAGATCGGGAACTGTAACACTTGACGTCTCCATAACTTGTGCGGCGACCTGCTCCAAAGTATCAGGCGTCAGGTACGTAGGCGACATATACTTGAGCAAAAAGTCGAGATCGCCCTCCTCAAAGACGCTTTCTTCACTGTCCTGGCTATCTTTCTCGGGGCTTTCGACTTCGACAGGCAATGCTTTGGGAAAGTCATATGCAGCGGGATTTCCTTGTAGTTGCATCAAACTGCTGTTCTTGCCCCATTTCTCTTCAGCGCCTTTCACATATCCTTCTTCGCCAATTTGTGGAATATGGAACCAACCACTGATAGCCATTCGGATTCGTCCGCCGTCACGCTCCAATTGCTCTTTACTTTCGGCATGGTAGACTTCTTCGACGTCGTGAAAACTTTCTCCAGGCTGAACAGCAAAGAAACTCAATTGATTCCATGCTGGCGGAATTGACTTTGTAAAATCTGGACTTGGAGTAATAGTTTTCTCGCCTTTCTCATCCTCGAAAGTCTTCGTGGGAAACAATCGCAATGCGCCGCCCCATTCTTCCTTCCACGGAAGGTCCGGGTCTGTCAAATACAGAATGTAGCTGACCCGTCGACTTCCAATCACATCATCATGGCACAACAAATGGCAGCCCGGTGTATAGATGTTGATTGCCATATCCGTCTTTCTCCCACTCAATTCGCCCGATCCTGTAATCTTTGCGACGTACTTTCGGAAGGAGGAGGAATACATGGCGTCTCTCAATTTGAGGAGGGACGGTAACTTTTCGAGAGCGCCATCGTCCAGACCATCCAGATTGGCAAGATCCCCCGACTGGTGGATCTTGTAGATATCAGTTTCCTTTGGAGTAAAATGAACATTGTCACGAATCTCGTCGCGCACAGCGCGTAGGAGTTTATCGTTGATCAACGTGTCAATTACACTGTGTTTGTAGGGCTCGGATTTGGCATAGGATTTCGTATGTTTCTTGAGGACATCCTTGTCGAAAAGGTCTTTGCGGAAGCACTTTTGCACTTCTTCCTCAGACAGAACTGTTACACAAGCTTAGATTATGTGCGGGGAGTGTGGGGAAAAGGAAGTAATCTGCATACCAGTCTTTGCGCGTTTTTTTAGGATGCTTTTGCCATTGCTGCGATCGGATTGAGATTCTGCCTTTCTCTTCATCTTGAACTCTCGAGATTTGACAATAGTTTTGGTTGGAATTGGGAAAAGAAACAGTTGTAGAAGTGGTGTGGGAAATCAGGTCAGTTTGGGAAATTTTACTGCCACACGGAGCACAGAGCTCACTCACCGCCTGGGGTCGTGCATAAAAAAGCAAACCTTGGAAAAGGGGCATAAATGCAACACAATTCACTGGCACATATCGTTCCTCTGCTATAACTGATATGCGTGTAAGCGCTTCTATGATCTCCATCCACCAAGGAAATCCATTGGCGTACTTACGATGCATTAGTGAGGATCCCTCCCCTTCCCATTTCTTTTTCGTGGACAAGACCCAGGGAGGCGAGGGAAGGTACTCGAGATAGAGGGGGAAAGGCAGAGGGAGAAGAAAGGGGGTGTTTTTCTCCCAACAAGGTATATTTTAGAGAAGTGGGAGATCTCCTAGAAATTATAAGAGTGTGAGCCCGTAAATTAGTAAGGTTTCGTGGTCTCAACGTCCCTTAACTAAGTTGTATATGTCAGTGTGGTAATTGATTTAATTTGTTCTATATTTTGTTTCGTCTGATTCTGACCATTTTTTGTCAATTTTTGTTACAATTTTGTAAATATTATCTTAACATAAACGCATGAATGCGCTTTGTGGCTCCCTTATTGTATGACATGCGCGTAAGCGCTGTTTCTGACCTTCATCCACCAAGGAATTCCATCGAGGACCTCGCCAAACACCCCTTTCAATTCATCCTCATGCAGTCTTGGGTCCGAAAACACCACCCAGCGGCGTTTTGACATTGCAAGGAATAATAGCGAACGTCATGCCTCGTTTCTCTTCTCAATAGCTGGTGAAAGTTCTTTCTGATCTATAAATTTTCAAGCAGGAGTCGAGGTATGCCAAATGAGGTAACATTCGAAGAAGACCCTCGAATAGGGATGAATTCAACGCATGTCTCAAATATGCTACTGTCTGATTGGCTGGGTATTGACGGCGTCAAATATGGCTTTTTGAATGCGGAGAACTTCCCCGATCGTGGAAGGTGGAGAAGTGTGCTCACTAAGTGGGATGGGGAACTGTACAGTACCTACGTATTTCTCGGCTACTGCAGCCTAATAAGCTAAGAACCCCATTCCTGGCCAGACCTCAAGATACAAGCTTTCTTATATTCCAGCCTTCTCAAAGACTTGTTTTTATAACAATCGGCAGAAAACAATAATGGGGAACTTTAGTATTGCAAGTTCTAGAGAAGCGTTCCCTGCATTGAAACAGGAGCAAGTGTTTTTTGATAACGCGGGAGGAAGTCAGACGTTGGGAAGCGTCATTGATTCGTAAGCTGTCCAAGTAATGTATTCCATAACTACCAGCGTTTAACGATTTGTTAGAATCTGCGAATATCTATCCAAAACTAATGTTCAACTCGGAGCTACTTACAATATTGGTAAAAAGTCCACATCACTTTACTCCGCCGGTTACGAAGCGGCAGCAAAATACATCAATGCCACACCGGACAATATCGGCAAGCTTCCCACTTCATCGAATTTTCTTCAATCTTACTAATTCAATACAGTCTTGGGCTCATCAACAACTCAGTTATTCCGCAATCTCTCCTTTGCCTTCGATTTCCCTGAAGGCTCAGAGATAATCTGTTCATCCATCGACCACGAATCCAACATCTCAGCATGGGTAGACCTCGCTTCACGACGAAACTACATCTTAAAATGGTGGACGCCAAAGACGAGAGAGAATCCCAAACTCCTAGCTGAAGATCTGAAGGAATTGCTCTCCGAAAAGACAGCTCTTGTCACGTGTACCCATGCCTCCAACATTCTCGGAACAATACATGATATCAAAGCAATCGTCAAAGTAGTCCGTACGATTCCCGATGCTTTACTGTGCGTTGATGCCGTGGCATATGCTCCTCATCGGCAAATCGATGTCAGAGACCTAGGAGTGGATTTCTACTGCTTGTCATGGTACAAAGTATGCATCCCACTTCCCTTCCTGTCAGATGCATACTAAAGAGATTAGGTCTACGGCCCCCACATGTCCATGCTCTACGCCTCATATACAGCTCTCATGTATGTCAAATCCCTAGGCCACTTCTTCAATCCCTCCGCTAGTCTTCAAGATAAACTCGGTCTAGCAGGATCATCATACGAACTCGTCGCGTCCATCCCCTCCGTACTCTCTTACTTCGGACCCAACCCCACAGAATCCTGGGCTGCAATCGAGAAACATGAATTCGAACTCCAAAGTGCGCTTCTTAATTATCTCAATGCCCGCTCAGATGTCACGATTTGTGGAGAGAAAGATGCAGATACGAAGAAGAGAGTTGCGACTGTTAGCTTCCTCGTGAAAGGGAGGAAGAGTGAGGAAGTTGTTGAGAAGGTTGATGAGTTGAGTAAGGGGAATATGGGGATTCGATGGGGTGGGTTTTATAGTGTGAGGTTGTTGGAGGATTTTTTGGGGTTGGAGAAAGATGGTGTGGTTAGGGTTAGTATGGTGCATTATAATACTTGTAAGTTTGGATTCCTGCTATCATGGTATGGTAAATGGCTTGCTAATTTGTCAACAGCGGATGAGGTGAAAGTTCTTTTGGGACTGTTTGACCAAGTTCTTGGGAAGAATTAGGAAATTTCAAATTCATATATTATGTCAGAGACTCCCATGCAATCAACAATGTTGTATCATATATATCACAAGAATTCTATAGTACAGCCCAAACTTTGTGATGTTTCCTTTGAAGCCTTATTGTATGGCCCCCTGCCTTTTTTTTTACCTAAGTACCGTTTGCGTTACGCGTTCCAGGATTACTCTTGATTTCTTTCACAAGTTTTAAGTCAAACATGTCTTCATTGCTCTAGATAGGTGTATGTAAGTGAAGCCAATCTCAATGCTCTCACCCCTCTATGGAACTAAGATGGAACAGTTCTAGCCTACTGCCTTGTTTCAACCAGTTCAACTTCCAACCTCTACATGCCAAACATGAATTCAAACCAGCGCAAAGATGGCAAAAAGCCACCTGGTGTTCTTAAACAACCCTTCTTTTGCATAGCATAGCAAAGCAGATTGCTTTGGATGGCAATTACGAAATCGACAGTGACAAATATTATCTGATTACATGTACGTTACATAATAGCGTGTATTTCTGAGAGATTGCGATAGCAGAGAAATTCTAGGTGAGAAAGCAAAAGATTTTGCTTCGATTCAATCTAATTAGAGAGCTCTTCGTAATCACACACGTGTGTAGGTTCTAGTTGCCAAGTGAGGTTATAAATACATCGTAGCCAATTTCAGTTATTGTAAAAAATGATAGCAATCTCCTCCATTTTTATGGTGGCGCTAGTGACTTCACTGAAGCGGATATCGTTTTTCCTAGGCATTTCTATGCAGGCAGATCCTCTGGTATTTCTCCTTGTTATTGTCGATTTCAAGACTACTGTCGAAAATCAAGGATCCTGGTAAGTCAACAGAAGACAAACAATATTTTCTCTCTCGGCTTACGACGGTATGCTAACATGCCGATTGTTTAGAAGACGACTAGCGACGATATGAATTGACATGGGATGATGAGTCGACCAGCGACGACACGAATTGAAGTGAAATAAGGGACCAATGAGCAGTGGATGAGGGATTGAGGGTAATGCTGTTGGATGCTATTATATTGGACGTCAGTTGCCAGGGTTAATGTTTTACAGTTGAGCTGCATTGAACCTGGTCTGGTTCTTTGAAATTGTACACCAAGAGGTCAGTTCCATCCGCAACCATTTCCATCTCCGCCCCTACTTACTCGTTCAGATCTCTTGAATCCAAAGATTTCAAGCTTGTATATCTTACAACCTTACAAAAACTAGTATCGCACACAAATACCCATCACCAAGAACCCCACCCCAACACAGCTCTACTAACACCTCATATCTTTATCCCCTCCATTCCCTACATAACCATTCACCATATTCACCCCTTCGCAGTGATAAGTGTAAATAACACACCTTACACCAAGTCTTCCGGTACATGCCTGCCTAGCTTGATGGTGATTAAGTGAGAGCTTTACTGGTACTAGTCAAATCGCGAAAAACTCAGTTCGTCTGGTTTATTGTCCTAGGCCGCCTTCCTTGAGGGTGAGGATTTTTTGGAATTTTTTTTAATCTTTTTGGGGGGTATTTGGTTTTGCTGGGACTTTGGTTTTTTGGAGAGGGAGTGGGGATGGGGAGCCAGGGTGATGGGGAGATAGGGTGGGGGAGAGGGGTGAGCGAAATAGGTGGAGGGGTAAGAAACTTTGAGGTGGTAGTGAATATATAATATTCACGTGATGTTAGATTATGACCCTCACGTTATATCTCAATTCTACCATGATGTTATTTTATAGTGACCTTTATAGTGACCTGCTAAAAGAAAGCTGTCTCTAGTATACCGGTTACTTCTACAAAGATGACCTTAGTCTAACTAAACCATAGTAAGAAAACTTTTGGAACTGGGATAGCCACATACGGGAATTAGAAAGTATCTATTTATCTCCCTCTCTATAAAAAACCACTATCTACAATACTAAATACCATTTAAACCCCGTATGTACCAATACTTGTCTTGTATATAACCACACCACTTATACCTTAACCACCAAACAGCCCTGCTCATAGACGATCCCATACTCGCTTGTTTACTTTTATCTAATCCAGAAATCTCAGTTTAGCACATTTCGATTATACCTAAATTTACTCTCATGAAACTATACGGTGAAAATTTATCAAAGCAGGTTGCTGGAAGTACCACGGTATACAAAGATGACCACCGCTTGACAGTACTACGTAGCTTTCGCCAATTAGCGTGTGTACTCCTATTCATTGTCAGGGATACGCTAAGCAATGATGACAATCTCACTTACATGGAATTTAAAGGAGTTGAGATGGTGCTCATACTAATGAGAACGAATCAGTAACTTCTCTGTACTAATATGGTCTACTTCTAAAGCTATCATTACGGCCAGGCTATTCTCAAGAACTACCTTAAATTCCTAGAGTCCAGTTCCCCAAATTAAAGTATTCTTCATCCCTCATATACTTCCTTGCAGACCACTCAATATCCCCAAACCTTTCTTGGTGGAAAGGAAATTCTCGTGCAATTCTATTGCCATTCCTCGTTTTCCTCGTTCATAGCATTATTCATCCGGATGTCTTTCTCAAGAAGCTTACTCGGCCGCTTTACGCATCCTAACCTTAACCCCATTCCCGAGCATAAGAGACATAGCAATCTCCTTCCTCAACGGCTCCGGATCAGTGCTCTCAATCTTATCATATCGCTGCAACAACCTCGCGACGACAAAACTCGCTTCATTCAACGCATACTGTTCTGTAACCATAAAAGTCAGCATCCGTCCTCGGTTGACCCCTCACAGACTCAGCAAAAGAAAAATACAAATGGATAAAACTCACGACCAACACAAACTCTCGCCCCACCACTAAACGGGATATACTCCCACCCAAGCTTCCTCCCCACCCACCGTCCGGGACGAAATTCATCCGCGTCCTCCCCCCAGATATCGTGTCGTCGATGAAGCACATACGTACTATAAGCAACGCCCTCCCCCTTCATGACGGCTACTGGCAGTTTCCCATCTGGGCCACCACCTGTAGGTAATATCGTATTCCTGATTGCTCTGCGACTATTCATCGACACTACGGGGTATAGCCGCAAGGTCTCGTAGAATAGGTATGTTAGCTCCTTACAAGATTTTAAGGAAGAGAATGTCATTTCCTCTTTAGGTTCCTGGTAAGTCCCGAAAATGTCGATTACGCTGGCTCGAATGCGTTGGAAGTCTGAGGGATGGCGAGCGAGGAGGGCGATGCTCCAGGAGAGGAGGGAGGCGGTGGTGTCTCGTCCTGCGAGCAGTAACTGCAACGCTTGATCCCGGATCTCGATAGGATCCTGCGTCTGAGTAGCAAGCTCCTCAAGAAAGATATGTTTAGTCTTCTGTCCAGGAACTGTGGCAGCACGTTCATGATTCGCATCCAACACCTTCGCAACCGAGCGATCCGCAAAATCCTGCACCGTTTTACAAGCCTTACCGAACTTATTCGAGGAGATGATCCAGTAGAGACTCTTGAATCTCAGGCGACACATGATAGTTTCCTGCGCATACCGCATCGCTTCAGAAAAATCCATGTCTCGCTGCGAATCCGTCGTATTCCCCGAATCAACAACCGCCAAAGCACTACTCTGAGAATTCGCACTCTCACCAAAAAGAAACTCCGTACTAGCATCTAAAGTGAACCGATGAATCAGGGGCATCAAATCTGTCTCAACCCATCCCCTTTCATCCTCGTTCGGTACGGCCCTGAACAAAATCTCCAGATGTTTTCTCGCGGTTTCAAGATCAGAGACTTGCTCACGAGTGAATTGGGGTCGCAATTGGTGTCGAAAATGAGCCCACGATTCGCCTTCCGCGGAAAATCCCGTTTCCTATAAGATCTGACAGATTCTTCGTTCGCGCGGCGCCGAGCTCGTAGTCCTGGAAGTTAGTGGCGAGAAGAGCCTGGATGTTTTCTGGGGTCGAGGTGTGGATGAGCGTCCTGCCTACGTTGTAGAGCCGATGAGTAGGGGCGCCGATTTTGGTGTATCGGGAGCGGATTGTGTCTTCGAGGATATCGATGCCTATGGGGTGTGTTAGCCATGTTTAGAAGCATTTTGAGGTGGGTGTGATCTTGCGATGAGACAAGGTTGTGTGAACTAATTATGAACAAGAACGAACCTTTGATTCCAGTAAATGCAATCTTATATCTCTCCAATCCCCAAGGGAGTATATTTGGATAAACAGGAGGCTTTCCACATCCGCGTTCATCTCCCCATTTCTCGAAAGCACGCCAGGCCAGGAAACTCTTGACTTTCTTGTAGACTATCAAATAACCAATAGAAGACCGAGGTTGAACAGAATCCCCATTCTGGCAGATATGATGGACTGATGAGAGATTGCGCGAGGTTGCTTAGAGATAACTAAGTAGAAGCAAGCACTTGAGTGAACAATATGCGACTTAAATAATTAAGCAAGGCAGGGACGACAGAGATAAAGTAAAAGCAGAACAGGACTTCCTAAGGTGAAGTCCTATATAATCCTACTGCTTATAAGAAAGCTCGGCATTCCGATGAAAAGCAGGCACCCGCTTACTTGCATATAATTCTACAACGGGAAGCGGGGTTTCATTCGACCGCTACGAGTGCAGTATTCCCAGAGATGTAGGACTGTGGCGTATTATATAAGATTCGCATTTATTGGTCAGACATGGGGTTCCCCGCCCCGCATTCTTCAGGAATCAGTACACAGTAGGTAGGTAGGACACGCAAAGTGAACCACAGTATTTGAAGTTGTAAATGCTTTGTATTGGATATATGAGCTAAATAGCTTTAGAACTTGATACGAGTCCTGACTCGTATCGAGTATAAAACTCCAATTTGTATGGTAGACTCGGAGTGTACTGTACACTCCGAGCCAAATAGACCTAACTATAAGGTCTGAGGTCCTTATTTACCCGGTGCGGGTACGAGTAAAAATGTCTTAGCTATATTAGAGCTAGACGAGTAGAGAGACAGCCTATAGGTAAAAAATAGGGCCTTAGAACCCTACTAAGGACGAAAAAAACTTCGAGAGGTTGCTTTCACTTCTACCATCAGCGCGAGCTTGAACCTTAGTCGGTGCGGGCACTTCGATATTGAAGTTCTGTTCTGCCAACCCGAGATAGTTAATCTCAGTAAAACCGTTGGTGTAATTCCACGCTTGTTTCCTAGTAAAAATCTCATCAGCTTCTGTATCTTACTTCTCTGACACACTACTACTTACGATGCATCCGTGAACTGGTAGCTAATTATAAGACTACCCGCAGCTTTACCAAACTCGCTCGTAATCGGAGAGGGCTCCAACCTCGAGCCGAGACTTCGGCCAGCGGGTGCCCCGTCGTTGAAAGTACATGCTACGAAAATCTCGTTTTCCTTCTTCCCAGTGCAGGCAGCGCTGAACGCAGGGGTTTTAAGGCCGTCCTTCTCGAAGTTATCTCCCTTGATGTCGAATTCTAGGAGGGATGTTAGTTTGAACTTTGTAGCGACACTTTCTGCGAGTGGTTTCTTACTATATTCACAGATGAGTGTATTTTTACATTACGAGAAAAGTTCGATTACTTTCCAACGGTAGATGCCATCATCTGGAAACAATCTCTCCGGTTCCTGGGGGGCCGGGGCAGCTGTGACAGATGCGAGAAGAGTCGCGAGAAAGAGGAGGCTGGAGTTGGAGAAAAGTATATTTAATAATGTATAGACAGTTGAAACGATAGAAATTCGCTGAGTGAGTGTCAAAAAAGTAATTGTCAAATTCTTTTAGCGTTAGTGGGAAGTTATATATTTTTTCCATTTTTCAAAGCAATCCTAATAATATACAGCTTATAGTATATTCCATAGGGTATCCCTTCCAGACGCCAGAGTGGAACGTAAGAACGTGCACCGAAGTGGATGCGATATCTGGGTCAAATGGAGGCTCAAATACTTGGAGAGGATACTTGATTGGCCAAACGGCTTTGAATTGCGGGGAAAATGTCGAAAAGGTAGACCTTTTTCTCTACTTTGGGTGCACATCTTTCTGGCGTCTGGAAGGGATACTAATCTGCGGCGCGAGGAGCTCCTGACAAGATGTTACGAGAGAAGCGATCACACCAGGGGCATGCCCACATGAGGTTTTATCTACACGCCAACCACACGTGCCCTAACTCTTAAATTATGGTATGTGGATATTCTGGGCACTGTAATTTGTCTTGACTTCACTTATCTTTATTTAGGTTACTGACCACGTCAGAAGATCAGACGAATCCAGATGCCAAGAACCACAGTAATAGAAGTAGAAGTACAGAGCATGTTTGGCTACGTAAATCGATCCATGCAAAATAGGTGCAAATTATAGACTTTTGGACCCTCGAGGGCTTATGTAAAACTTTCCAAATTTACATACAATTTGTGCTAGTCTTTAGAAACAAATGCACTACTGTTTGACTAGCCTTCGGTAGTGCAAACCGCTTAATTTGCGAAGTATCTTTAATACATTTCCATGGTGAAGGGCCTGTTTAGCTCGCACATTTTTTAAATATGCGTTATATAAAAAGATTTGCATGCAATAGTATATGCGAGACTGTTTATTTAGCCGTATATCTAAATTATAATTTTATTATAAATTAGATAACTTATCTATCTATTTACACCTCTTTTTAGATATATACTACTAAAATAAAGATACAAAAGATATAAGACCTAAAACCCCAACGGTTTCCTTTACACGCTCGCATATCCTTCGATTTTACTATACAGTACGTTCCACTACTATACTATAATTTAGTCGGATCTACCTATTACGTACTATACCAACGCGATATACGACCTCAAAATGCCGTAATATAACTAGTACACCAACACTCAATTAAAGGGACGACAGATTCAGGACAGGAATCGTAAAATCGCTTTGTTTCACAGCTATCCTTGCCGTCTGGGCCACCACTACTTATCATAATAACAACTACGTAAAAAAAACCTTAACACACAGTCACACTTCGAAGTTACGAGGCGAGGAATAGATCCAAGAGCTTATTAAAGGACAACAAAAGCGTATAAGAGACAGTCTCTATATAACCTACGAAGCTTTTATTATAGTAGAGAATCTCCTTTAATATAAAGGTAGACGCGTACTAACTCGATATATAAGGACAAGAGAGCAACTCGGCATATTCTTATATATAGTTGCAAGCGACTTATCCTTGCGTAAAATGGCGGAGCGCTTTCAAAGGCTTATACTATAAATCGTCAGATATATAACGAAACAAAAGAAACTTATACGACGAGCTAAACCGTAGTGTATTTGTTTCGTTAGATTAGTACAAATTAGATACAAAACTAAAAAGATAAGGACGGGGTCTTAGGGTCATAGAAAAAGTGGTAAAGTTTAGAATTTGCACCTAATATGCACGAACAACTTATGCGAGCCAAACAGGACCGAAATTTCTTAATCTATAGAAAAGAAACTTAGTGTGACGGTTATGGTCACGAGGGCTGGATGTCACATGCTCGCTTAGCGAGGCGCTAGCGCGCACGACCTGTATTTAGTTCCCAGCTCTCTTGAGCTCTCCTTCTTTCCTCGTCTTTTGTCCTAAGAATAGAGTGTTAATTGTTCTGAGTTCTACCTGAAGCACGTCTGTCACACTTAGAGTAAGAAGAATCCATACAACAAATAGCATAGAATCATTAAAACGCAACAGAGACTCGAAGAAAGGATCGTACTAAAGGTACAACAATAATAAATCTATTTAACGCTATAAAATAAAAAGAAGAAGAGATCCATCATCCATGTAATCACACCCAGCACCCATCTATCTACACTATATAATCATGTATCTCCCCCCTTTCTCCCCCCTCCGCCCACCCCCCAAATCCCCCACTCTACACCCTCTTCTTAATCCCAACCATACACTCCAACGGCTTCCTCAAAAACCCCTCTCTCGTCTCCAAAACATCCTGATAGACATCAAACTGATACCTCCTAAACGTCGTCGAAACAATCAGCGCCAACTCCATCTCCGCCACATTCCTCCCAACACAACTTCGCGGTCCATACGAGAAAGGGATAAAAGCATTCTTCTGCCTCTCCGTCAGTGAATCCCACCTGTCTGGGACGAACTCCGAAGCATTGGCTCCCCAAATCTCTTTAGAATGGTGGATTGTGTAGGCGGGGACGGAGAGGACGGTGTAAGGCGCGAAGTGGTGGCCGAGGATATCGACGCCTGCTCCGGGAGGGACGACGCGGGGGAGACCGAGGGAGGAGGTCGAGTGGATGCGCATGGTTTCTTGGATTACGTTGTTGAGATACTTTAGATCTTTCACCATTTCGAAGGTGGGGACGTCGATACCCTCTGGGATTGCGTCGTCGAGTTCTCTCTGGAGTTTTTGGAGGACACCCGGGGTTTTGAGGACCCAGTAGAGGATGGCGCAGGAGGTGTTGGAGGTTGTGTCTGAACCGGCGATGAGTTGTGTGAGAGCTTCGGCTGTTAATTCTTCTCGTCCCATGGGGTTTCCGCGTTCGTCTTTGCCTTCCATAAGCCGGGCGAGGAGATCAACTCGTTCGGTGTCTTGCTTGCCATCTAGACGCTGTCCCACTCTTGCAGTCGCGATTCCGGCGAGATTTTGTACAGCTGCTAGACCTTTGCTGAAGAATGGATCAGGGAGGTATTTCGCATAAGGCTTGAGACCAGGAAGACAGCCCAGAGTTCCAGAGACTTCTCCACGTCGGTTCAGCACTTCCACAGCTGGCGCATACGTTATGGGCCCTCCAGGCGTCAATTGAATCTCCGTAATATCCTTGCCCTTCTCAAGCATGCCAAATGGTTGTCCAAAAGCGAGATCTCCGATCATATCAAAAGCCAGGTAATTGAACCAATGCAGACTATCGATTCTGGCAAATCCGCCTTGGGCGTTCTTGGATAAGTCATCCCATTGCCTTACGAATATCTCAAGGTTGCCATGCATATATATTTCGAATTGGGAAACACTCTTCGTAGAAAATGTGTGCGATACGGTCTTTCGCTTTCGAGTGTGTTCCGCTCGATCTCTCGTATTAAAAAGACCCCGCGTAATGGAGACGAAGACATCGTAATAATCGCTATACAACAATGAGCATGAGCTATGCAAACAAATCTATCATCCCACTTACGCCTTCAAGAACCCATTTCCATGACCATAGATAGCACTGATCGCCGAGTCATCCGCAATACTAACATGGTCAGGTTGTATCCGAACCAGCTTTCCATATTTCTTGTGCGCTTCATCGACACTCAGATAGCGCTTCCCTTGGCGGGCCTGTAGAAGCAGCCATAGATTTGAGAATTTCGCAGCGAAAGGACCTGGAATACTTCGAATGCTGGTATTCGATGTAAAGTAAGGGAGGAGGTAGAAGATTGAAAGAGCAATCGGAATAGCCCATGGAGATAGCAGGAGGTCGTGTATCGCCATGATTGGTAGTGGACGAGGGCCTCGGCAGAGATTAGATAGGCGCTGAAGATCAAATTGATTTTTGATTAACTTAATTGGATTGCCAACGTCAACAGTGAGAAGACTTTGAAGAGACTGAGCGACTTGAATATCAAACAGTTCGATTATGGGGACAGTCTCCCATTTTATATCTTTTGCCCTTCGCATTCAATAATGCCGCGGTTCTTGTCCGTTCTTCCATGAAGCTTCCCCGCAACCCACTACACGCCATGGCTGAGACCCCAGGTTTGGGTTTCAGCCAATGAACGTGGGGATATTATGATGTATACAGGAGATCTTTCGGTGTTGGTAAGAATTTTGCAGGAATTTTCAACATGACACCTTCTGTTTGGAAATTGTTTGTCCCACCCAATGTTGTTAGTAAGTCGGGTGCTGCGATGTTTCTTGTTCTCGGATTTATCTCGTTGTTGGTTGTACTCGATTTGGGAGGAAAGTAATCGGATACTCCGTTCATTAGGCTTCAATATGGCAACCCCTTCTATTTATATTTCTTACCTAGATAGGTAGTCTCTGCTTCGACATCTTTAACAAAGAAATGCTGTATACATGGAGGAAATGAAATATCTAGAGATATCATACTCACTAGAGTTGTTATTTATACAATTTCAAGGATAATATGCAGACTGCAGTGGAATTGCAAAATCCATAGGCTCAATACCTACAATTGTATACTGTCAAGAAATGGAACTGCCAAATCAACCTACATAACTGCCTTACTTCAATGCCGTACATCCAGGTGCACATGAGATGTTTCGGTTGTCATGGGAAGAGTGGTTTTCCGGTCATACTGCATCATGCATGACTTCATACAACATATTATTTCTGACGTTGACGAGTTTGTACACAGGGTATCACTGAAACTTTCGCAACCATCTCCAGTCTCTATATGCCCCTCTGATAGACGGCACTTGAGCCCGGCCAAATAATTCATCTCTGAATGCACCAACTTGCCACTCTCACAGCTTAGTCCTTCTTAACTCAACAGCTTCTCTCAATTTAGCAATAACTTCCGCTGGATCGTTGGCTCCGAACACGGCGCTCCCAGCAACAATGACATTCGCACCCGCATCAGCTGCTTGATCGATTGTTCCAGGGCCCAATCCTCCATCAACCTCAATATTCAAATCTGGGTATCTCTTCCGTAACTCGGCGACCTTTGGCAGTTCCGAAGCCATAAACTTTTGTCCTCCGAATCCGGGATAGACAGTCATAACAAGTACCATCTGGGGCTGTCAGCAAACATGTAACAAACCTCTATCAAGGAAAGGTCTTACATCCGGCTTCTCCCTCTCATCCGTACTCTCCAAAATATCCCATAGCACATCAACGCTTGTATCAGGCTTAATAGCGATCCCGGCCAGCATTCCGCAGTCATGGATATATCGAATCAACTCCTTGGGACTTGTTTTCTCATTGCTCGTAGCCTCGGGACTTTCGGCATTGGTACTCGAAATCGCAGCTTCGTAATGGAAACAATAAAGATCGCACCCCGCTTTCTGGAACTCCTTGACCCATTTCTTTGGCTGTAGAGAAAAGTCCAGTCAGCGGAATCCCTTCTAGTAAAGGTAGTATAGACTGTATACCTCTGCGATCATCATATGGCAATCAAACGTCCCATTACCGTGCTTCTCCGTTGGATTCGCAACATGACTCCGGATTTTCGTAACAATTGGAGCACCGAAAGTGATATTTGGCACGAAATGTCCATCCATAATATCTATATGGAGCCAATCTGCGCCTTGCGCGATGGTTTTCGAGCATTCTTTGCCTAGATCTGCGAAGTCGGCAGAGAGGATTGATGGCGCGATGATTGCTGGAGGAGACATTTTGGAGGACGTAGAAAGGGAACTGTTGGAATCCTGACTACGAAAGTGTTTTGTATTATTCCAGTATGGACGGCTCGAAGTGAGAGTTTACAAAGTCAATTGTGAGGTGGTTGATCTCCTGCGGGGTCGGAACCTTGGGGAATGACGAGGCTGTCAACCCCACTTCAAAGCTTCTCATGTGATCTGGTACCTCATTCGTGTTTCAGTCTCACCTGTACCTGGGCACTTTGGAAGCGGCAGGTGCTTCAGCTTTAGATGTAAACTTATGTTCATCTCGATATTTAGCTTAGCTAAATTCATTATTGAGGCTCGGAGAATCAAGCTGCGTCATTCCAGAATATACTCCGTATGCTTTACGACTTGAGTTCGCGTAGAAAGGGAGTACGGAAGTACAACGGGATGGGATTGTTATCTACCTCTGTAATGCCATCTGAACGCGCTCTCGCTTCAGGTCGCACAGGGGCTCTCTGTTTGCCTTCACCTTCGAATATCATTTTCGTTCCTTCTTCCTTCTTCCTTCTTCCATTTCCATTCTTGCCTCTTCAATCTTTAAACCTCCAATCCCAGAGCCGATATGTGTTACCACCAGATTTTCATCATTGCGCATATCAATGATCGCTATCGTTGCCTCGCGAAAGCAGTATTCTTCGAACCGTGGCCATACGGTATTTCAGTACCTTCAAGATGCGGACGTCTCATCTCGCTTTTCGAATCTTCGTCAAACGCGTTGGCGATATCTTCAGAGCTTAGCTACGCCAAAACGCTACCACCGTCATTTTGGGAGGACAAGGAGTCGGACCAGGAGTCGGACCAGGAGTCGGACAAGGAGGGAGACGATGACCCTGCCGCCAAAATTGAATACCCCGAGCATCCCTTCTCATACATCGAGACTTGCCTTACTGTTGGGGCATCGTGGGATCCCATGAAACGCCTATACAACGAGGTCGATGTAAGTGGCACACGTGATACCAAGTCCAATTACATGGCACGGGTCTTCGACCATGAGGGAAATACGATTCTCGATATCACCAATCTTCAGCGAGTGCGTTACGCGTTTGAGAAATTCTTAAGCAGACGAGATCTGCTAAAAAGCCCTTGCACGGCTTCTGAATACCTTCAGCATTACAACTACGCCCGAAAGAAGAAAATATCCGACGATCTTCAAGCAGAATACGACCTTGCTTGTAGCGCATGTCTAGATCATGATCTATTGGATATTACGACAATCATCAGCGTCTGGCCAAATTCACCATTTATGGCTGTGGCCCCCACTGTAAATGACGAGGGTGATGTTAAGAGTGGTGAGATTGCCATGCCTCAATATGATGCATTTGCTTATTTCTACAAGGCTCTCCAGACACACATAAAAAAACGGTAAGTGGCCAACCAGCAACACTCAAAAAAGCTTCAATGGATAAAATCTTTGATGAACTGCTTATTTGTTCTCATGAAGAGTTCAAAGGCACGTTGAAAGTAAGTCATCTACCACCTATCTTCCATGTGCCTTGTGACACCTTCCTTATTTCATAAAACAAAACAGAAAGATTCAGCTAATGATAACGTGATTGGCAATAGACTGCCACGCTTTTATCGGATTTCTGGCCAATAGTGAAATCCAAACTTTTCAACAACCCTGTTCTCTTTCACCTCGGACCCGACAAAGGTTTCGGCGCTGTTAGGCTTCTTGTACACGCCCATGAACACGAAAAAACTATTGATCTGTGTCCTTACCAATTGACGGAAGATCAATTGGAATACTTTCTAATCTCCGGTCCGACGAGTTTGCCAAATTTGAAAGTTTTAAACCTATCTGGGAGCCGTCATTTGACTGAGGGACTGCTGAGAAAGATAATTTTCAACCACAAAAGTTTGACCACATTGTATCTCCTGAATACTCCACATATTCCACTAAAGGCAAAACTCAGCATTCTAAGAGGATCCAGAATTACAGAGTTCTCGGATACTGAGATGCTCAGTTTTGCTTTCATTGGTGTACCGGAACCGGAAATTGGCTCTGACTTTGACTTTGACCCCAAGGATGAAAAAAACATTGTCGGTGGCGCACAAAAACAAGCAGTCCAAAACGGCGAGAGAAGACAAGAAGAAACGAGACATTCGCGAAAACCTCCTTCTCTCAGTCACATGCCACTTCCAGTATCGCAGATCATGCTCGTTGGGCTTGAAGTCTGTAAGGGAGGCGTTGTTGACATAAATAAAATACGCCTTCGAAATTACGACCCGATTTATGCATTCCCATTCAACTTGAACGGGCTCAATCGGTCTCTTTCCTCGTGTTTACTTGGCATCATTGATTATACGCAGTGGCTATTATCAAGAAGCATTCAAAACGAAATACCACAGCTAGATCATAGTTTTTACGGTGAACTGAAGAAACCTTTAGGAGTCTTTTTGGGTAGAGACTCATCCCCCGACGGCGAAGCAGGAAAGATCCTTCCGATCCCCCCCGAGCTGTATGAAGATCGCGGAAGGAGAGTACCATCCCAAACGCCACTATGTCCTGGGCAGTGGACTTTGATGATTGGTCATGCGCTTCCCCATATCCAGCAGGAAGAGCAATCTTTCGCGCAAGTAACAACACTTCCACCAGCTTTATACTATGCTTTCTTGAGTACCGAAGGAATTTATTTGAGCAAGGAACAAGAGCAATATTCTCAAAGTCGTCTTATCACAGAAGATATTGATGGGCTTCTCCGCCGACTCGAAGTCGATACCCCTACGAGGGAGCAGATTGTAACTCTATGGCACGAACGACTTGGCAAGCTACGTATCAAGGATTATTGGGGTCCGGATCTCTCTAAGCTCCTCGAGTGTAGTATTGAACCATGCTCCACTGAGGATGCGGAGTTTCTTCTTGAGTACGCAATGAAAGGAGTTCAGTCGGAAGGGTCATAGGTTGTTCAGGGATTTAATATCCGATGAACCAATTTGCATTTCTTCAAACTGTCCTCCTACCCGCGCAGAGAGACACGCATCTTTGTTTTCTTTTCAACATAAAAAAGCTTCATTCTTTGAGATCTCGGAGCTGAACTTCGACAGAGGGCATCAACAAGGGATCTTTATGGGAAGATGCTCCAAATATTGGAGGTCAATATTGCGTTGCGTCATACCAAATAAAAGTCTTTCATGAACCATGTCTCCGAGTGATATGAAGCTCGCTTCTTCATACCTTTCTCGATGAGCAAACATCCGTAATCTAAAGATTTGTATTGTTTGTTTTTACTGTAGTATCTTACATAATCTTTCGAATACTTTCTCTCCCTATTCTACTCCTAGATGAACTCCATTCCTATAGTTATACTTTTAAGCAGTAGTGGCTTTTGCCATTAAAGGTTTAGGTTCCTTATTCTTATATATTTAAAATGGCGTGGACAATTACCCGAGAGTATACTATAGATCTAGGAATATAAGACTTACCAACCATCTTTCGAATTCAGCTTTACTTCATAAGCGAAAAATGCATTCATTAAGAGACACTGTTAGATTATAAACAAGTACTACCTTTTGTGTCATTCAATCCTACCTATACCAAAATTCGACTCTCTAATTACATTATTCACCACTTCGGAGGAAACCAATCTCACTTTAAGTTTCATGTGTGGTGATTTCTATACTTCCCGCTTATGACAAAATCTCTGCAAGTCCGCGTGCAGAACTGTCTCAGATAATGGCAATGTCCCAAAGAAATCGTGGTTACCTAAATCGCCCAGAGTTATTCCTACTCTGTCCGGAAGTTTCCGAGGAAGATATCAGCAATGTGTATGTTGTGGCTGACATGAGAATGACCAGCAGAGACCGGGCTTGAGAAAAGCTGTTGTTTGTTACACCCTTCAAGACAATTTAGATGCGTTTTCGTGTGCTTTTGTCATTTAACGCTGGAGTTCGGGAATAGATGGATTTTGTTTCTAGAGGTAGGACACTTCTCTCAAGACGGGAATCTGGAGAGGTTGTCCTCGGCTGCCTATGAGAATAGGTGCCGAATACGATTTCTGAAATATCTTAGTTGTATTTACTTCTTGGAAGAGACGAATGCGGTGGTATGATCGCATGAAAACTCGATCTGTTGAGAACAGAATTCGATAAAGGATACGTTATTGACAACCCTGGACTACAAGAACACAAATTCAATCACTTGCAAATCCAAATTTTAATACCAAGAGTCTGTCTCACTAGCCACTAAGAACAACCTCGCTACTTTAGATATTCTGAAACTGTTCAAAAAGGTCTGTAATATTTAACTATCAGATCTCTATTTTGTACTCCCTTAAATAGTCGCACTTCCCCGAGCAGTCGATCCCTCTTCGCAATCTGCACCCTGAGAATTGCCATAACCCTTCTTGATACACTCCTGCAGCAGCGCCCAAAACTTATCCTGATACTTCTCATCCAGCGCTCTCTTATCCGCCGTCTGAACCGTCCCATTTGGCACAATATACTCACCCTGAAGGCCCTTCTCCTTCACCTCCGGCGACGTCGCAGCATACAGCGCACTCAACGCACCCGCCGGACTATCCTTTATCAACAACGTCCTTGCAGCGAGATTAGCACCTTCAACCGAAGCCGAGACTGCAGTCCCGACAACCCCTGCACCAAGAGCCGCCTGGATCTTGGGGGTATATGTCTCGAGTGCTCCGTCCTGCTGTGCCGTCTTGACGACACCCGGATGGATGGAATTAACAAAAACTTGCTGTGCGTAGCCCTTCGCGCGAGGTTCCTAGCGAGCTTCTTGGCGAAAAGTACATTGCCCATCTTGGAGCGGTTATATTGAAGTGTTGGCCCAAGGTGCGTGTTGATTTCTTCAATAGACTCCCATTTGACGGATGAATCGGCTGAGAAGTGAAGGTTGGAGGCCATGACTACTATTCTTGCATCGCCTGTCTTCTTGCCGGTTTGCTTGACTAAATCGAGCAGGCCGTCGGCGAAAATGGCGTGGCCGACGTTGTTGACTGCAAAATGTCGGTCCAGAGAGTGAGATTTATTGCTTGTTGATTCTGGGACGTCGGTCTTGTACATTCCACTAGATGGAGTCAGCCTGGGCGCTATTTTTGCTTTCATTTTCTTTCTTCTTTTGACAGAAATAAAAGAAGAGGCAAGTACAAGCAGACAAGTGGGCTTACATAGCGGCACTCAAATCAAGAATATCAATCCTATCCGTTTCCTTCTTAATCTGCTCAACAACCTTCCTAACAGCGCCGTAGTCACCGAGATCCATCTCATTAAACGTGACCTTTGACGAAACGTCTTTTCCAGCCTCCTTGCTGAAGTGCTTCATCGCATCCTTGTGGCGAGCAGCATCGTTCGATGCAATAATGACCTTGAATATGTTGTTCTTGAGTAACTCGGTACAGAAAGCTGCCCCGATTCCCTCATTGCCTCCTGTGACAACGGCTACTTTGCCACTGAGGTCTGGAATCTTTGTTGCGTCCCATGGGTTGAGCATATCTGAAATTATTTGCGCCATTTTGATAAGTGATTAAAGTGATGTGAGGAGATTATTTTGTGTTGTACAAGTACCGTTGGATGAATGGGAAAGTTTTGGTACGTAGGTAATTAAACAATCTACGTTCCAAATGGAAAAACAGATGTACTCGATATGTAAATACGATGATGTCAGGGGCGTTTCCAAGTCATCCAGCCGCAACAATGACGACATTATTTTAGAGAGCGCTCAGAGCGGGATTTTCTTTTTAAGGTGTTGTTGGGTTGCGCATTCAAAATGCATACCCATTACATTAGCTAAGCACGCAGCTGCTCGCTTATGAGACTGCGTTGAGCCATCGACAATGTGCCTTTGTATCAAACCTACGAGTATTTAAAATTTATTTGTTCCCATTGCCCCCTGGTACTTTTCTTATTTAGTTATCCCGATCTTTGACACGCTAATTAAGAATACACGAGTGTTCAAGTCAAGAAATAAAGGTATTCTTCATAAGGTGGAAATGTACAGCTGGATTCGTCAACTTTATTACTTCGAATTGACCTTTTTTCTCTTCTTCATTGCAAGTAGAAGTTAATTCACAGCGTGCAATCAGTCAAAATAATCAGTCAAAAGATCAATTTTTTATGTTCGTCATATCGTTATTGGCCCCTTGCTTAACCAAACGGTCAAATGGTTGATCTCAAGTCACGAGACTTCCCCCATTGCAACAACACAAACGATTCTCTCGAGGTGCGAGCGAGCATTCAAATTGGTGAGTTCACAATTGCAATTTGTATTGAAAGTACTCCAACCATATGTAACACATAAATAATATTATCAAATTGCAGTTCTGCCAGAAATCAAAACCCAACATCATGTGACAAAAACACGTTCTAAAAATAGATTTTCCGGCGCTTGCAAAGCGGCACATCATCCCCTCACCACCAACAATAGAAAAGAGCCTCACACCCGACCTGGCGCGTATTCTAGATCATCGTTCCGTTCCGGTAGCCGCGCAATGGAGCAAACGAGTATAAAAATACATTTTCCATGTTGAAACATCGCAACTGACCAATGGACAGCGAGCCAAGATGTTGAAGAACATCGCCACGTCGTGCCAGCGACTTGGTCCAGCAGAGGAACGAACCAATGAACAGGAGAGTAAACTGTTTGTTTGTTTCCGGTAGTCGGGAGATCTTCTATCCTTGACGCGGATTGTGAGAGTTGATAGGCTGTCGTTAGTCCAAGGTGGAACTGGTGAGAGGATCATGACATGTTTTTGGTGTTGACCTGGTTACAAACGCCTTACCAGGGTTAAGGTTTTATGTGTGGAGGAGCTAGACGTTCCAACCGTGAAATGATTGGGTTCTCAAGCGAGGCCCGCTTACTTTTGACCTACGTACGTGGACCTGTCAGTGTTCATGAAAAAGGTAGGTGTGGTTTGTGTTTATTCCATGCAATTTGTTCGAGGGCCGGATACAAAGTGGCCCATAGAAGATTATTAACTTACACAACTTCCTCTCTTCTAAATATATACTCTTCTTCTGCTTCACATCTGACCTTGTACTTCTACTTTATTTCTTTTTTCCCTTGGTCATTTCATTTCTTTCTCGTACTCACTCTATAGTCACGCTTGCGATATCTATTTGGCCTCTTTTCCTTCATATAACGAATTTCTTCCTATTATTTCGTCTCTCGTGTTTTGGGTCTTGAGTTTTCAATTTCTTTCCATTATATCACTTCCAATACCTTCTTGCTGAAGTATCTTTTCAACATGAAGCTTTTCACTGCCTTTTCTCGAGTTCTACTCTTTGCAGCCAGTACATCAGCACGCATCGTCCCGCGGTCAAATACTACTCTCTCACAAGAAACAAGCCGGGGCTTCAAAGTAGCTGGTGAGTCTCCAAACGATATGAAGTCTCTCCGAAAAGTTTAACGAACCCACCAGCAGCGGCCTCCGCAATAGACCTCAGCACCATACAACCATCACCCTCACTCCCCACCGTCACAGTCACCCTCGTCTCCGCATCCCAATTCCCCACCATAACACCATCACCCACCATGCATCTCTACTGCACCAATCCATCCCCCGAAGACGGCGACGGAATCTGCACCTGCAACATCGGAGTCCACACAACAACCATCACACCCCCAGGCGGACCAGGAAACGCCTGTCCACGCTCCATTTCCGTTCCTGAATCCGCACAGAGCATGAACGCTCAGATCCTAGCAACGTCAACACGAAGTTCACCGCCTGGGGTCACGGATGCCCCAGCTTTGAGCTGTTCAAATAATAGTTTGGAGAATAGCGATGGGCTTTGTACTTGTAATGCTGCGGGTGTGACGGCTACGTTGACGCCTGTGGGAGGGAGGGGAGCTCCTTGTCCGAAGACGATGAGTTGATATAGTCTGGCCGGGTTAATGGATTCGAGGTAATGGTGTCTAATTTCATGTGTTATGAAGTGCGATTTATGATGGGATGGAAAAGTATGTGTTGGGAGTTTTGAGCGTTCATGTTTGTTTGTAGCTGAGGGAGACAATGATACCGTTTTGCTTTTCTTCACTTTAGCGAGTCTGTCGTATTCTTCGATAACTTTCTTTCCATGTATCTGAGATATATTATGGGGCGGAGTCCCTTTACTTGAACCGTCATGGTCTTATGGAATTCTCAACAAGAACTGATTCCCAACACGTGATCTTCTAATCATTCCCAACCCTGTAAACAGAACTCTGGTTCAAGACTCTTTTGGAAGGGGGATTCTCTCACTTCGCTTTCCATCTCATTCTTTCAGCTCAACAAAACCCAAGCCTCATTATCAACAAGCCGGACCTTTCAACCCATGCCTCGCAGCCTCACATTACACCCTCATCCGCATACTCTATCAGCTCCCAGCTCCCAACTCCCAGCGCGTAAATCACTTCCTCGTCCCTCACCTTTCGCCATCAGGCCACATATACGCCCAGCGCTAAATATCCAAATTTACATATCTAATTCTGGGGATGTTGAAATCTGATTTGGGTACTGCTTTGCAAATGGTTCTATCTCTTATACTGACGCCGGCATACGGATTCGGAGTAGTAGTCGATGTCGAATCTAGGACTTGCAGGTGAAACCTGATATGGCAGGACCCTTGTGAGAAAGCTGGATACTGGAAAGTCAGAGAAAGTGGTAATAATAGCCTGATTTCGCTTACTGAATTTAGTGGAGTGTAAACGCTTTTTTTAGCGGCGTTGTCGCTTTGGCGTCTGATATTTATCTGTCTTGAGGCTTGAGTATTTGAAGCGGAATGAGGAGCGATGAGATGGCGTGAATGGGTGGTATCTGGTGGTATTTTGAGGGTGTGGGTTTCTAAATGGGATTGTATGGGGGATGTAGCAGAGTATTTTTACATCTTCTATCTGTCATTTACTTTTTTCTCTCTTTCTTGGTTTCCAAAATAAAACGCCTTTGGTAATAAAAAGTTGGAGTGACTTTTGTTTACTACGTTGATGGTAGTTTCTTGCTCCCCTTTGGCTCTGTCGGTAGAGCGTGATTATTCTTTTCACTAGGAACGACAAGATTACAATTTCAAGGCGCTTATTTTGCGTCCTTCGCATTCCAGTTTGGGGAACATTCCAACTAACATGGTATTAATTACAGATCCAAAACTACGCTAAGCCAAGGAAAAACAGAAACAAAAAGAAAAGCCGCAAATTACGGTAAATAATGTACTCTGTATGAGGGTATAAACAAGCCAGTTCCCATCCTTGAATCGAAGTCACCTCATGCCTTCGAAGCGAACTTCCAACAATCAACTTTCTTTCTGGAAACATCGTAGCAACACCGGCACAAAAACCCCCACGTTTCCAATCTCATATCTTATCATCATCCTCAAATTCCCCCTCAGTATCATCGTCGTCCTCGTCGTACTCCTCATCGTCCTTCTCATTCTCACTCCCCACCTCCTCATCCACGTCCTCCTCATCAGTATCCTCCACCAGAATCTTGTCACTCTCCCTACTTTCCAACTCCAACTCACCCAACTCCGCAAACATCTCCTTCAACATCCTACTCTTATTAGTAACCTGTTTATTCGCCGAACTCATCGTCCGCTTCGGCTTCCCATCCTCATTTTCTCCATCGTCGTCGATTCTGGACGCCGACGAAGCCCCTCGCGATGGTTGTTCCCTAATAGAAGGTAATGACTCGCCGCCCAACAGTTCGGCAATACTAACCTCCAATTCTAGGTCCTCCTGCGAGGGTAAAACGCCAGCCGGGGTCACGCCATTAGATGCAAATCCAACCATGATTCCCCATTTATCCTCGCTACTGAATCGATGGTCGTCAGATTTCTGCATCGCCATCGTGGCCGTGACGACATCTGTGAAATGGACGAAGCATTCTGGGTCATTCAATTTCATGCGTAGGCCTTCGAAGCCTTCCATTCGGCTGAAGTATTCTCTAAGGTCCCCTTCGTCGGGCTCGGTGGGGAGATTTCGCACCCAGAGGTTGTTGCAGGGTGGATTGCCGTAGGCGGAGTCAATGGATTGGAAGGTGGAGGCTGTGGAATAGGGACGGTATGAACGATGCGAGTCCGCGTATGAGCTCGAATAGGTAGAGTTGGCTCGAATCCTCAAGTGCGAACTGGGTGATAGTCGTTCTTGGCCTGGCATCAAGTGCGTTTCGTTCGCTAGGTGAGTAGGTATTTTAGAGAAATGTGAGAGGTTAGAGTGCAACGATCTTGTGTCGAATACAGTGCTTTGAATCGAGTTTTGACTCCACGACCGTGGTCTTGAATTTGTTCCATCTTCCATCGACATGCGTATAGATGGCTGACCAACTATACTCCTCCGATTCTCCGTTCTAATAGTTCTTGCTGAGTCTGCTCGCTGTAGAGTATTCGTATTTTGCGACATAGCATTCTTTGCGCGATCCTCTGTTGCGCTCCATAAGTCAGGTGTTGATAATTCGACCCGCTTCTTGAGATGAGTTTGCATCCTGTCGAAGATATGAGCAGCAGGAATGAGGTAGGCTGTATCGGTTTCTGGAAACCCAAAGACAACAATCCCACATAAGTTTCCTGTATCGCATTCGACAACCCACGATCCACAATCCCCGTCAACTGTAAAAGTTAGAATATCATGGGATCATTTAAGAGCAACAACGTACAGAAAGTCCCATTTATACATTTAACTACCCATAACTCCTGAAACCTTTTGCTCCCAGGCGCCTTTTGAAATGTAGAAATACTCGACAACCGTCCCAATAATGCATCGTCTCTATTGCCTGTACATATCAAAACATCGACTTGCGCTGCTTCTTGTGCTACCCCCTTTGGATGAATTGCTTCTCTATGAAGACTCTGGTCTCTCCAATATATACTGTTGGTCATGAACCCTGTTTACATTTAGCATTGTGTCCTGCTTAGAAGCAGAGCTCACGCACGTCTATTATTCAACGATATACTTTCCAGCATCAATTCTGCATTTTCAATCTCCACTAATGCCCAGTCTAGGCTATTTGCTGGGGCGGATACAAAGATATTACCCAGCTCGGGAGAGATATTGTCATCGCCTGCTGCTGCCCTTTGTTTTCGTCGTGGCTCTGGCCGCGGATGCGGCGCCGATGCTGATGAGCTTCCTCGAGATACTGATGAAGCTGCTAATCACATTAGCGCTGGAAACCCCCTGGGAAGACCGAAGAGAATATAGACGTCTTAGGACAAGGAAAATGGAAAGGTGAAGGGTAGCAAGAGCATTCGAAGAAAGAATTGCTGAGTATGTATCTCGGTCATTGATCTGGTTAAGCCCGTTCTTGTTATTTCGGTTGGCCTCTGATAATGGGACCGATTATTCAAGAAGCTACAAACAATCAAGAAGCCGTAGTCTCTTTTGATCTAACCTTCCTCAAATGTAACTGGCAATTCTTCAACAGCTGCTTGGGCTAGAGAGGCATATATAGGCAGAGCATTGGCCGAATCCCTTCAATGAATTTGGGCTCCTTACCTTTTGTTGTAGAGGTTTCCGGTGTAGAAGGATTGTTAGATTTGGTGGAGTTTCCCCTACTACTTGAAGGGGATGAGAAGGCAGTTGGTGACATATCACCTTTGATCATTAGTACAGTCACGTTGAAACTCAAATTCTTCTTACCTAGAGTTAGGTCTGCTGCCGAATCATGTTTCCCCTTTAGAGATTCATCGATTCTCGTATTTTCATAGAAACAAAATTGCGAATCCATATCCGACTTCATCACCATGTTAGAATCTGGTTTGCAAGCATACAGCGTAATGATGCCGTAAAACAGACCCGCAATGAAAACAATTCCACCCAACGTAGCCTTTCGTGGGGGCCGTCGTTGTTCCCCAAAGATAAGAACAGAAACCCCACAATGCCTCAAAGGTTCAGTGGCGTAGACACCTGGCGGTAGATCTGGCATCTCGGCAGTCTCCTCCATTGCCAGTGGACGACGCCTTGGCGAACAACCTGCCATCGTGATCCCGGGATACTGTAAAAGAAGTTGACTCTCATACACCAAATCCAATGCACGTCGGCGAGTGCTCTGATCGTGGCAACTAACGAGAATCGTCGGGCTCGAAAGTACCTCCTCCTCGCCTATCATGAATATCTCCACCATAAGATCCATGTCTCTCGTTTCCAGGGGCTCGTGTTGATCTTGCAGGAGCTTGACAATCTGCTTCGAGATACTCTTCCATACTGTGTGAGCGGGACTGTCTTCCTTGACAGTCCAGCACTTGTACCTGTCGAGGGAGTCTGGAGAAAAGCTCCTGGCGCCCAGGGAATCTTCTGGGTTCGCCCATTCCGAGCCAGACATGGTGGCCAAAAGGGATGTTGCATGGGCGAAGATCGTAGCAAACGCCGGGGGTTCGCGGGCAATGTCGACAACGTTGGGGCCTTTGAGTGCAGGTTCTCATTCTCTCCGTATCATGATCTTGGTACTGTGGGTCCTCCCTGTTGAATGTCCTCCCGCGCAATTGTTAGATGTTCGGCCGACTCATCAGACGAAGAAGTTGTCGTTAATCAAGACATCAAGCTGACACAAGGGTAGGCGTGAGGCTGGATTTAGGCAATATGCATCTCTCAGCGCCGCAGGTGTGCATGGCGATTAGGGCGCCAATAGAGTCAGCGTTGAAGATTAATCACGTCGTGCAACTAACCCTATCAGTACTGCTTACCTGGCCCTGCAGAATTTGGGGAAGAGGCTCTTTCGCTCCGGTGCAAGTGCAAGTTGGTTTCGAGTTGGTTCACAGGGGAGGGAAAAGACTGGGGAAGACTTTCAATTCGCGACGTAGTTTGAACTTCCTATCGTGTCGAAATTGACGTTGTACAGAGATAGGGCACAATAATCCGTGCCTCCTCCACACAGCTCAACAGGAAACATGAACCTAATCTGTAGCTAGCGTCAGCCGAGTTTTGTTTTTGTCACATGACATCTCTCCTCTCTGTAAAGTTCTCGATGAAACGAGGTACGAGAGTGGATCGATTGTTGGGACAAAGTAAAGTGGTTTTTGGTGTTACAAATGTAGCAGTAAAACGGTTGCTTCAACGAGTACGTGTAGCGAATTGATATTGAACTAAATCTTAGCTTGAAGCTTAGGCGATGTCCAGCAAATAGGGACTTCCAAAAAAACGCCCACTGCTTGGAAAAGCAAAGAGGTACTCGACCAGAGCTGTCAACGCCATAAGAACCGGGTTTATTATGTCGATCTGGAGTAGAGCTTGGACTTCTTTCTGGTGGCAGCTCAAGCCTGAAAACCCTGAAATCAACCTCCCAGTCTCAAGCAAAGACCGCACATTTTGATCCGGCTATAAACTCGATCGAGGCCTCTAATTAATCCACGAAAAGTTCGATATTTCAGAAGTTTCAGCTTCACAAAGCCGATGCCAAAGAATACTCTAATATTTAATTTATACTTTTGCAAATTATTCTGAGAATTCAAAGTAAGAGTGATGGTAAGGTGCACGGGCGTAACATGTGCGGTTTTTGCTGTAATCTTACGTGCAGTCAAAGTTCTTGCGAATCTAAGGAACCGTATTTCTGACTCAAAAGATGCCAGAAAAATTACTGGTTTTCCTAGAGTGAACCTGAATCGACAAGCATTTTTACAAATGCTGAAGTACTTCTATATCTTCCTAGTGTCGTTTTTCCGGTCCACTTTTCTATATCTCTTCCAGATACCAAAGTGCCAAAATGACGTGCGTACAAAGTGGATAAAAATGGCTTTGTTTAATGGAGAAGGTACTATGTACGAAAGTGGATTCATCATTGACTCCACGTACGAGTGCACGTCGCAATAGTTTTTCTCCCCCACAAGCTCTAGGCCTTTAATCCACTCACTTGTTTCTTTCTTTCTTGTATATTTTAGATCATCGAGATATGATTTAATTGAGCTGGTTCGCTAATTGTACGTGACATATAATGAAACTTGCTGCGAGATAAGAAGGGGGAGAAACCCTTCGATTTGTAAAGTAAGTATGGCTGGGTATTAAATATCCTTGAAATGATGCTAGTGTTATTAGGTAATGAGTAAGTAGTAAATATCCTCCACAAAAATTATCCTCAATAATAGCTTAGTGCTTACCATCCAACCTTAGAGTTCTATCCAAGGCTTCAGTTAAGCGAAGTGACTATGCTTGCTAACAAAAGGAAACAACATACCTTTGAATAGTACCATACGCCAGAAGAAATGAACTTGCTCTAGCTACTCTAGCACGACGCCCTCCCATCCTAGAGATACAACACGTATCAACTGAGCAACTCCCAGCTGGCATAATAACAAGCTAATAACCTCAATAGTGAGTCAAATCAACTGGCTATCCTACATAAAAGAAATATTAAACTATTAATAAACAGATTCTGCCCCTTCTTATTGACTCCTATACAATCACCATGAAAACCAGGTCCCTGAAAAGTAATCAAACACTTTCCATCCAGAAGCGAAAATAGAATCGCGAATGTTACTATCAGCTTCATATGAGAAAATTTCTGAAGACCGTTCTATGCTAGGCTCCTAAGAAACAAAGGGATGCCAAAAACATTTGCGCCATCACCTATTTTGTAACTAAACTGAGAGTCCACATGCATGGTCATTTCAGGATATTGATCTGAATCATTTCTTAGGCCTTCTATGTAACAACACCAGACCCTTAGCTATGACTCTGAGAAAGGCTCCTCATGCCAGCCATTCCTGCCTGCCTTAGTGGGGACATCGTGTGAGAGGTATGCATATCCAAATTTGGAAAACTCAGCTTGTCTAGTTTCGTCGCAGGCGACCCTCTTAACAGGGTGAGGACTTTCTACTATCTTTTCAGGCCATAGCGTCAAAAATGAACAAGGAAACGGAGTTGCACAAATCGTTCTGGCTAGGAGATTTTACCAAGTGGATTTGTGCCCATTATCATATCCGAAAGCATCTCTCAAGGGGAGCCCGTTTCTATGGCCAAATAAGCTCGAGCAACGATATCAAAGTACAATTCTCATTAGATAGATGCGGGAAAGAGTACCCGAGACTACTCCACTCACCTCTTGCCAATGCAAGTTCAATACTGTCTGGCCCCAAATGATGAGGGTTACCTCCATCATATGTATGGAGGACAGTTCCGTTGGTCCAGCAGCACAGCAGCTAGCTCTGCTGGTACATGTGTACCTCTACCCCTACCTCTAATTGTGTCTCTACCCTACTAACGCCGTATTCCAAGACTCTACCATCAATCATAACTCTAGGGCATTGCTGATACCCGCATTTGAGGCGCATTGGGTCAACTAGAGCTCCTTGCTGAGAGAAGGGTACTTGGAGGAGGAAGAGCTTCGGGGCCGAAGGAGAGGGGGAGTAACTGCAAAGCAAGCTTATCAGTTTTAGGATTCGAAAAGGTATTTAGGGAAAGAAAACCAACCTCTTCCAACTTCATAACCACAAAAGCCCCATCCTTATCAAACATAAAAACCGGAATCTTCAAATCACAAAACTCCCTTATACTACACCACACCCCACACATCAGCCTCATCTCTCTATCCCTTCAATCCTCCTCTCCCTCTCCGCCTCCACACAGCGAGATAGGGCACTCACAACTGTCTACACATCCCACAAGGACTCGCCGGCGGACTAATATCCGTCGCCACAGCCACCGCGCGAAACCCCTCTCGATGCCCCTCCGTAACCGCCTTCCCAAACGCCACGCGCTCTGCACACGTCCCCACGGGGTACGCAGCGTTCTCGACGTTCGCGCCGCTGACATACTGGCCCGAGGCTGTGAGGAGCGTGCAGCCGACCCGGAATTGGGAGTAGGGACAGTAGGCGGTGGATTTGGCGACGACGCAGCCAGTGTGGAGGGAGTGGAATTCGTGGGCTGTGAGGGAGTGGGTTTCGCAGGCGGAGGAGACGTCGGAGGGGGAGGTGGAGGAGAGGGTTTGGGGGGTGCTCATTGTGGAGTTTTCTTTGGTATGGTGTTGAGTGGGAAAGAGAAGAGTTGGAAGTTGGGGATTGGAGGGTTGGAGGGGAATTGTAGAGTTCTTGAATACCTAGGTACTGGTAGGTAGGTAGGGATGGATGGAGGGGCAAGTTTGCATACGGCGATCACGGCCACCCGAGTTTGGGCGATCACGGCCGGTTCCGAAGTGATGGGATACCCCGCGATCGATTGTTTGCATACTCTTATATTCGTATCGATTGATAGGAATCTGGTTATGTGGAGTGAGTTTGATCGTTATCTTCTACCTAGGTACGTAGAGTTCTATCTGAAGCGAAAATGGGATCACTTTTATCAGATACGATTCTTTGCAAAATACCGCCACTTACTGTAGGTAGTGACGATTCACATGGGAATGGAAGGGAAGAGATAGGTAGGTTTACATATGCCAGCCTGACACAAATGCTATTTCAAGATATCTGAATACTTACAATAACTTCAAATAGGTACTGTCAAAGGATTCATCACGCTTTTCAAGATTAGTATAGTTTCTCCACATGAATGTTTCCACTTACCTTGCCCCTTCATCAACGACCATATTTGCACCAGTGATATAGCTACTAAATCCACTCACAAGAAAACCAGCTACTCTGCCTACCTCAATAGGCAGGCCGGCTGGTTCTAAGCCTATGTGGGCTTTCTGGCTCTGGAAATACTTAGCGTAACAAACAGTATCAGACAGCAAGTACACACCTCTTTGGTCTGCAAACTGGCTGGAGGAAATCGAGAAGCCATGCCACGCATATCAAACTAGACACAGTCAGTGCGTGTAAAAACTAGCAGCATCGGTCGAGGTTTATACCCCATGTAGATCAACTCCTACATGAATCTGACCAGGAGAGATGCAATTGATTCTTATCCCCGTTCCTTTCAGCACTGCAACTCCAGCCCTCACAACACCCAGAGCAGCATGGGAAGCCATCGTGAATGCAGGTCCCCAGCAGCCTATACATGTCAATACGAAAGATCTTCACGTCTTCGAGCAGGAACTTACCTCCATAAGTACTAGCAACAGAACTAACCACGATGATACTCCCATACTTCTGGTCTTTCGGCGCGGCATTGGGATAAGACAGTTTCGGGGTAGTTTTCGTCATTGCCGGAGGAGCATACTTCAAGGCAAAGAACGGAGCCATGCTGTTTGCCTCGAAGCATTTCTGGAGATCTGTGGGTGTGGTGGCGTCGATTGAAGAGGGTCCTAGTGATCCTGAAGAGCACACCCATACATCGAGTCTTCCCCAAGAATTCAGTACATCGTCGATCAGGCCGAGGGTTTCTTCCTCTTTGGCTATGTTGAATGGGTAACCGATGGCTTGATGTTGGGATGATCTTTGGCTACTGTATCGATCAGAGTGGTGTAATCGTCTGTTGAACCTTTGTCACAGGCTATTCGAAGAATCTCAGGTCAGTGTTTAGTTCCTACAAATGGACGTAAATAGCTATTGATGGATGTTCGAGTATACCATAAATACAGGCCGCACCATGAGCTACATAGCATTAGCGCTTGAACCTTAGTCGACCCCTAGCGGAGGAAACATAAGACAGAACCCGTTTGAGCAGGACGAATTCGACGAACCAGCTAATTCTTGTATGATTGCTTGACCAACAGGTTGCTGAGCACCCGTGATTACACACACGAAGCCATACTAGATAGTATTCTGTCAGTTCCTGGTTGCCTCATCGCGTTTTCAACACTAATTTTCCATCAACTCACAAGCTTCCCGTCCGCACGGTACGGACTGAAATGTTCGGTATCCAGAGTTGACATTATACGAGTTACGAGTATGAAGCAAGAAACAAATATGAGAGAGGTCAATTGAGTGAGAGAAAATTGGAAAGGAAAAAGAACCAATCTCAACCTACTCACGAACCGGGTATCCTTGATAAAGCAATGAGAAATTGCTCTATGCAACACATCCTTGATGCGCGGAGATCTGGTAACAACCAGACGGCTGGTTGTGTAGTGGCATATCTAGACTGCAATCAAAATGTTCTCATTGGCTCTTTGATCGAGGGGCTTTTCTTTTGAAAGTGACACTTCTCCGAGGATGCCAACATGCTCGAGTTTTGCAGGCAATTTTCACCACACAAAACGAGGAAGATTTCTTCCCAGAATCAAGAAAAGTTGCCACTAACATGTAGTATCAAAAGAACCTTCCAAAGTGAATTGTGTGAAGAGCAAATATGCTGAGCGGTGCAAAAGACCTATTCACTCCGATCTCGGACCGATGCCCTGAGCCTCGGCGAGCTTCCACGACGTCATCCACCCAAAAGCCTTCACTTTGATCAAGTCAATATCTACGCTTTCACAAAGCCCAACAGCTATCCATAAGTTTTAACAAGAGTTCCAAAAGGTAGCTCGATTTTCTTCAAGACAGCAACATTCGAGCTCTACCATTAAATTCGAGAATGCGATCCGCCGTATTGCGCCGTAGCCAACAGGCCTTGAAAAATCACAAACCACCCACCCGCCACAACTTCTCAACAACACTCTCTTCCTCCTCCTCTTCAATTCCGACCGTCTGCCAATCATGCAGAAGAAAGCTCGCTGAACCAGCAAGTCCAAGTACACCTCAAAGACGATGGCAAAGCTCCACCGCAAATTCACAAGCAACAACCAATATCCCCCCACGAGCCAGCGCAGTCCCCCAAACACACTACGAGTTCTTCCCCAAGACGCTGCCTAAAGGACCCCCGCCCTCAGGCCCTTTCCACATCGATGCGCGCGAGCTGCGCGCAGAATTCCTGCAACTCCAAGCAGTAGCGCATCCAGACCGACACGGAGCGCATCTAAAACTCCGCGCAGAAGCTACATCCGCGCGGATCAACGAAGCCTACAAGACGCTCCAGAACCCGCTGTTACGAACACAGTATCTGTTGAGTCAGCGGGGGATCGATGTCGCGGAGGATGAGACGGCCAAGACGGAGGATGCGGAGTTGTTGATGGAGGTTCTGGATGCGAGGGAGGAGATTGAGAATGCCCAGGCGGAAGAGGAGTTGGTGGATATGAAGAGAGTCAATGAGGAGAGGATTAGAGTGAGTGAGGAGGTGCTTGATGGGGCGTTTCAGAGGGATGATATGAAGGTTGCGACGGCGGAGGCGGTTAGATTGAGGTATTGGGTTAATATTAAGGAGAGTCTTGATGCGTGGGAGAAGGGCAAGCCGGTTGTGCTTGTTCATTGAAAGCATCAAGCTGTGACATGGTTCGGGTCAGGAGGAATATGGTTGGCATGTAGAGATACCCAATAGATAAATAGGATCAAGCCACTTCATTTTTCTTGCTAGACTTCCGTAGGCAATTCCATTTTTACTACTACATTTCAACAAGCCCAATTCCTCGAGATCATTGTATAAGGAGTGTTCAAGGACTCACCCTTCTTGCACTCAACAGACAACGCTCAACAACCATACTTTTTCTCGCCTCTCCAAGCCCTCATAGCCTCTACACTAAACCATTCGCCTCCCATCCTCCACCCACCAAACCTGGCTCACTACATCCCAAGCATCGCTACTCTCTGCACAAGATATCATACACTACGCAGCCACACACCAGACCTACACACTTTCGCCTTCATTTCGCTCCTCGTATTTAAAGGGGACACCTTGATACTTACTAAATAGATCTGCCTAAGAAAGATTCACCATATACACTGAGTAGAAGTGAATGAGGCTTGTGTTACATCCCCTTGTAGGTTGAAGGTATTCACCGGATTCGGCAATGCTCGCTTATAGAAAGGGGGTGGTCGTTGACAGTAGATGAGGGAGGTACGAATGTTGGGATGGGACGAGGTCTGTGAAAGTCAGCGGTTATAGTGAATGTTATCGTGTATAGGTAAGAGAAAGCTTCAGTCCCAAGCAGATCTTTTCAGAAATGAATCCTGATTCTGTAGGTAACTGGTGATATCCAAGATGTGGGATTGCTTCAGATATTCAGTTTCCTGTTACTGTAAGGGTCCAGGGGCTCACACCTGAAGGTAAGCAGATATCAACTTATGGTATAAAACGCTGGGAAATTTATGTAGGACCAATGTGTATTGCGAATGAAGAAAAGCATCTATGAATTCAGGTAATCTTTTCTACAGTAACTCGGAGTTCATACAGTAAGACATCCCTGCTGCCTCAAACTGCTGGTTGGCCAGGAACCCTAGACAACCAAACTCTGGGCCGACCGGGAGCCCACCTGACAACAACGACGCGTGGTTTCAAACTCGTCTAGGGTTCGTAAACACCTTTCAGAATGCATTTCTTGGGACGTTGATTTATCGTGTATTTCATCAGTGCATTTTGCTTTTTGATAGACATTGATAGATCGTTGGTCAGTATAGTTTGGCTAGAAGATATGTCGGACATCTCCCAGGTATGCACTCGTTCGATACTGACGACCATATTAGAATCCTACGAAAGGGCGTGAACGTGCTTATAACCACCAAGTTTTCGCGAAGCATTTGTACCTGAAAATGGAGCGTTTCTATCTCAAGAATGCAGCAAAATATCAATCGCTCGTAGATGCGTTTGATCCCAACGCCAAGATACGAGTCTCTACAGGAGAGGCGGGTCCCAATATGGTTGTCGGTGCCAGAATAAGACCTTTGTCAAAAGACGAAGCATTCCCGTCTGCCATATTCCTCGCGCTCTACAGAGAAATGTGGTGGATATCCATGATCTCTACAATCACCCAAGAGGATCTCCAATACTGAAAGTAAGAAGCGCAGTAACATTACCATTGAACGTTGCTTTACTGTGCTAATATTCGGTTTTTACAGTCTTTTGACTACGAAGTAGATTACCTCTTCGACTCAGGGTCAACCACGGAAGTGATTTATGATAATCTTGTAGCCGATCTAGTTCCCTTTTCTTGGAATGGCGGGATCGGTACTCTCTTCGCCTACGGCCAGACAGGCTCAGGGAAAACATTCACAGTCAGTAGAATAGAGAAACTTGTTGCAGAAACATTAATGGATGGGAATCTGGAAGGCGAGAGAGAAATCTACATGACCATCATCGATCTCGCTGGAAACTCTGCTTTTGATCTTCTGAATGAGCGTACACCTATATCACTTCTTGAGGATTCCTTTGGTGTTACGCAAATGGTGGGGGCAGATGAGTATCAGGTATACGATAGAGAGGATATGAAGGAGCTTGTCGAACGAGCCACTGCTTTCAGACGGACAGCACCAACGCTCAAAAACGACGCTTCTTCGCGATCACATGCTATTTGTCGCATCCGTATTTACGACCCAGCTACCAACTCAGATGGCCTTCTGTATTAGATTGACCTCGCTGGATCAGAAGGTGCTCGCGATGTTTCTGTGCATGGCGCAGACCGCATGCGAGAGGCTCGGGAAATCAACATCAGTCTCTCCGTATTGAAGGATTGTATCCGCGGGAAGGCCCAAGCAGATGCCAGGAAATCAAGCCAAAAGGTTCCTCATCTCCCATTTCGACAAAGTGCCCTCACCAAGATCTTGAAGCATGTTTTTGATCCGGCTAGCAAGAGGGAATGCAAAACTGTCGTGATAGCTTGCGTCAACCCCAGTCTTGCGGATGTTGGAGCGAGTAAGAACACCTTGCGGTTTGCTGAAATGCTGCGTGTACTGGTTCCAGCGACTAGGAAGAAGGATCTTGATCCTATGGCTCCTATGAATTGGACGAATGCCTAGTTGAGAGAGTGGATTAAAGAGAATGTAAGTCCCACGTCGTCTATTTCCCACCAGGCGTGCGAAAACTAATATGCCTACAAATATAGTCTGGCAAACCTGCAGTATTAGCAAATGTCTTAGCTCCTCGGGAATCAGGTGCCCAACTTCTCAATCTGACAAACACAGAATTCGAGTACCGATGTCAAAAATGCCCTGGCGTCAGGGCCGAGCAAGCAAGAGCCTTTCGTGCCAAACTGTGGCAGATGCACATCGACTCACAACATTATAGCGAAACATCAAAACAAGAAGTCGAAACAGAATCAGCCGCGTCAGTGGAATCTGACGTCTCAACGGCACTTGATATCGTGGTTTCAAGCAGAGATCTGGACCCGGCTCGCTCAAAGTTGCCTTTCAAAGAGCGTCTTCGGCCTGGTATGGTCGTCACTTACTTTGTATCACCAGAAGAACTCCAATTGGCCGTCCTACTCTGTCCAGCAAAGACTATTTCCGTTTTCCAAGATGCCTTTGGTAATGTGATCAACCCTGGGATCAACGGTCGCGCTACAACAAATGAAAGCCATTTGGACAATACTCGACAGTATCTGTGTGCGCTTCTGACACCAGGACAGACGGTGGACTCCTACGAGCTGAATATATGGACTCAGATTGTGATTGATGTCGATTCAATGGATGAAGAGGTATATTTAGAGTATGATTCTGCGACTAGATATTACTACATTTCTGCTTGAGAGCTAGATGTTATCTTTGAGCTGTTTTGCATTTCGAGGAATGGTAGAGAGTATACTGTGATCTTTCCCCTGAGATGGCACTTACCCCCCTTTGTTTTCTTTCCCCTAACAACACCTAAAATCGGGATACAAGGAATAGAAAAATGGCAAAAGAGTCTCCTCAAAGTACCACTTTAAGTAAGGAATAAAGATCGAAATCCTCTACAATCGTCACAAACCAAACAAGATTCTTCATTCGTAAAACACCATCACACCCGCCACCGCAACAAAACCACTGTTCTCCCCTTCCCCCAAACCCCCTAAAACACAACCACAGCAAAACAAAGCAAACAGAAGCCCCAGAAACCACCCTTAAGATACCAATAAACCCAAAACTCTGCTCTCTAAGAGAGGCTAGTTTATCTTGCAAGCTCAATCCGTTGGACCCAGGCTCGTAGCGGACATACTTTCTGAATTAGCTGGACATAGAATACTGATCGAATTTTTGTTATTAATGTGCTTGAGATTATGGATGTAAGTGGGCCGTTGTGAGCGGGTTGCTGCGTGATTCCTGAGAAGGGGTGGGGTATGGCTCGCTTAGTGGGTTAGTAGTTAAGTGGCTTGTGTTAGGAATATATCATTCCTTGGCGGCGGGGGGGGTGGAGTTCTGTTGGAGATGGTGTAGTGGGGTATTTTCCTACGATGCTGAATTAATAGCAAAAAGATATGGTGTTTCTTTGAGAGACTACTCGTACGAGGACGCTCTATTTCACAAGGAGGCAATTGTCCTGGGATGCAAAATCAAGATGGGATGTGAATGTCTGCCATATAGCCTTGGTTCAAGAAGTTTGCAGGTCATTTGTATGAAGAGGATATTCAGGGTAGTGGTGAGGATTGATATTGTTGCATACAAGCTGTAAATGAATGTTCCGTGGAAGAAAATGAGTGCTTGAGCTGGCGTAATTAGTAATTTAGTAAAGTGGGAGATGAGACTAGCACCATTTATTTTGCGGACAACTAGTAGAAAGATACATGATGAAATTTCCTCTTTAGAGTCAGGGAACTTCACATAAGACCAGATACACCCTGTAGACCCCGAGTTGCTCATGGGTAAACCTTGATGCCGAAATCTGGGATTGGTTTGATGGGGAGAAGATAGTAATAATAATATCCCAAGGATTCCTCGTGTGTTTGATTTATACGTTATGGCTGTCGGAGATCGTCGTGGTATAATCGCGATTAGAAGAACGATAGTTTGATGTTCTAATATGAGGCAATTTTAGATAATGCATCAATTTACTTCAGGTTTACTAGAACTGATATCTATGGAACTGGTATTTGTGGGTTTAACGCGTTGTTTGGAAGAGAAAGTATTAAGTGTAAAATTCTGGAGGGATGTATAATCTCTTTTGATAGTACATTAATTTTTAGTAAAAGACTAAAGGGTCGGAGAAGAAACGCCACTAAAAGAGAATGCGGAGGGTAGTAAGCCAAGTGGGATTCTTTGCTCGGAAGTTATTTCATCTCCTGTATTATATAATATTTTTGAGGGTTTCGCCTTTAGCAAGAGTAAGAGAAATGTCAACTGAGTCTCTAGCGGTCTCCGCTTTTTCTGCGCAGGTACGAGTATTACGGGTTAAAAACCTACATTTTAGAGGCAGAAAAGTGGGCTAGATATAAAAAGCCTAAAAGGAATGATGTGGTAGGGAGGTAAGAACAGAAGTGATTTACTTAAATAGAAAGCGAGTATGGCTGTGGGATTAGTAGAGGTGTGTAGTAGGTATAACAGGTATATAGTGGGGAGAGAGAACTTGGAACCTGGTGGATAACCCTAATCCTGGCAAGAGAGAAGAATATTTTGATTTCATAATTTTCACGTGAGAAGCAAACCTTATATAATTCTGGATAGGTAGGCAATAAATACGCCAAGTTCGAAATGCGAAAAGATCTCCTCAATACAATAAACCATGTACTTGTTTGGTTCTTTAATAAAGATGGATAAATAAACCTAGCAGAACAAACTGCTACGTGCAGTCATGGACTGTTGATAGTTGTAAGTTGGCAAGGTTTTCTTTCTTAGTGAACAGCGTTAGCTTACATGATCCTAGAGCTTACTCGAGTAATTGATCTAAGATTGTCGATCTCAACCCCTAGATGGGCTGAGAGCAGATATCAGATCAGTTTGGTCAGTTAAAGTATTTGCATGTATCATACTGGGTTTTATACTGAAACAAGATATACACCAAGCGAGGCTTGCTTTGGCGTTTGCTTCTTCACGTCTCAAACAGCTATGGGTCATGCAATGCTTTTTGACAAAGCAAGTTTCCAGCCTATTAAAAACTGGAATTAAACTGATGGCAACAAATGCCTTTAAAATATATATACCTCATGAGTACCCGAATAAACGATTACCTATGTGGATAAAGCGATGCAGTTAGCGATGGTGTGATATTGACTTACTACTATCCAAGTCGATACAAGTCAAGGCATCATGATATTGTGAAAATTGAGAAATTCGATATAGAAGGGAGAATTTAACAAATCAAATTCTCTGTTCATTTGAGCAAAAGCTAAAGACCCATGATCGCAATTCATTCACTAATGCGGAGGTGGTTTCCGCAGATATTAAAGTCAGGATCCAAGGGGGGTAAAAATAGGCACGTCAGTCCGTCGACATTTTCATTACAACGTACCAGAACAGTTTTGTAAGACGTCCCATACCTTGGCCTAGTGAGTAATTAAAAGGGGAGTCAGAGTTTGAATGTGTTATTATTATTATTATTATTATTCCTTTTAACGTGCTGTGTGAGTCTGAGACTATAGTAGCACGGCTGGGGGTTTCCCTCCAACAGATGAGTAAAGCTGTACTAAATACATGTTTGAGAAGGGGGTTATGGTCATTACAGTTCTTGGGTTGTTGGAAGCAGCTAGGCTTCTGGTTATGACAAAAGAAAAGTTGTTATGTTGTAGTACGCCCCCTCGTTTCACGCCCTGTACGCTACGCTTCCTCGTTCTCGTCTTCCTCGTCCTCGTCTTCCTCGTCCTCATCTTCGTTCTCATCCTCAGTTGCGCGTTGTGTGTGC